CCTAGGATCATTGGGACACTCAAACCCCTCCACCACGATAAGGTAGCAGCCCAAGGAGTGACTATATTGTATTAAAATAATTAATTTATGTTAAATTTAGGATGCACTAGTCCAGCTGTTTCAGTTTATATACATATATCAAGGCTGCACAAACATTTTCTCCAAAATGAAAATCTATCTGAGGCCAAATGCAATAATATAATTCATGAAATACAAATACTTCTTAAGTACAGTTCTTTTCATTTTAATGATTATGTCCTGCTGGAGTGTGACATGATTTGTTTGTGTACAAAATAATACGGTATCAGAGTTTTATATGTTTATACTTTTCATTCAGCCACAATTAAATTCACTCTATCTAGGAGATACAATTTATATGGATAGTATTTATTTTTTACAAGCTGGAATGAAAACAAGCAAAAATTTAATAAAAGTAAAGACTTTCTACTTCTTGCCTCTTTTAAAAATGTAAGTAGAAAGTACAGATAATTGTGTGAAAATGTAAGAAGTAGAAGTAAAATGTAGGCTGAAAAATAATTACTCAAGGAAAGTACAGATACCCAAAAATTCTCCTTAAGTACAGTAACAAAGTATTTGTACTTAGTTATGTAAGAAAAATACATATTCAATAGACTGAAGTTAATATTAAAACCGCCATTGTTAAATAAAATGATTTGTAGAAGGAATCAAACCATACAACACCAGAATTCTGGAACTGAGTGAGGTTGATTGCCACCGGAGCTGACAGGAAATCACACTGGCGAAAAACCAGGAAGTTCATCAATTTATACATGGTTCTTCAATGCCTGCGTTCGCCCCCTACTGACCTACGGCTGAATCACAGGCATTCAGACAAAAACCTCATCTACTGTTATCATAACGTTTTAATTATGTGTTGTTATAATTCAGACATGTAACTAATCTATATCAATCAAAACATAATAGATAAAACATTGTCAACATTATAAAAAGGAAAACCTAAGAATATAGTGTTGTGCTTCTAACATCAGTACTAACCTCTAATAACTATAAATTTCTTCAGTTACTTTACAACTCTGGTTAGGGGAGTCGTCCTGGAATCGGGAGGTTACCGGTTCGATCCCCCATTCCAGCTGTCTCAGTTGTGTCCTTGGGCAAGACACTTCACCCCTAACACCTCTGACGTGTCCCATCAGTGTATGAATGTGATTGGCACTGATTAGTCTCCATAGATGATTGTACATGTTAGCTTTGTAGAGACCTAATAGAGTGCTGCGTGAATGGGTAAATGAGGACACAGATTGTTGTGTGAAGAGCTTTGAGTATCCTGGTTGGGTAGAAAGGTGAACGTGGGGCGGAGATAACAGCATCTGTAGCACAGAGGAGCAGGAAAAGGTGGCAAACTTATTACTTCAATGTGACTAATGCATACATGTCAATCTCTTCGGACGTTTACCTGTGTAAAGAGCCTCAAAAATCCATAAATTTTGCAAAAAAATCCGTACAGCGGGCTGCGGACATGAAAGCACCTCAGGAGGAAGGTAGAGCGGAAAAAGTTCAAAACTTATTTCTAGCGGCAGAACAGTTTGGAAGATGACTGTTTGATGTTTTTTATTGTTTTTTAAATCATCCTATAGGCTCTGACATGTTAGATAAATTTGAAAAAGAGGTTTTGAAAAAAATCTGTAAGACTTGAAAAAATCCGTAAGATTGCTCTGTACATCTGTATACCTGCAAAATGACGTCAAATCCTTGTAACTTACGGACAATCCGTACAAGTTGGCATGTGATGCTAATGTGATGGCGATTTTCAAACGATGTGTCGTGCAGCTTTACACTGATCTGCTATGTGGGTGTACTCTGAGTCCTAACTGTTTTCTTGTTTAAAACGATCCAATAACCATCAAAATCTGTCTGTTTGTTAGCAAACAATCTCAAACTACTGGATGAAGTTTAATGAAACACAGAGGAGAGCCACTGCTCCTCTGCATCAAAGGAGTCAGTTGAGGTGTTCTGGGATTTGATAATGCCTCCTAGACGCCTCCCATTGGTGGTTTTCAGGATCTTTCTGTTGGGAAGAGACTCSGGGGCAGACCCAGAACTCACTGGAGGGATTATCCTCTCTGGCCTAGAAACACCTTGGAGTCTCCCAGGAGGAGCTGGAGACTGTCGTCGGGGAGAGGGAGGTCTGGGTTTTTCTCTGGGATAGGCGGTAGAAGATGGAGAYGTTGAGCATTTCACTGAAAATTATTTGGAAAAATCATGAAAGCAATATCAAATCAAATTGAAATCAACTCGAGTTGTGAGGTTGTTAAAAATCTCCAGGCTTACCTCGGAACCCAAACAGGATAAAAACTGTGGTTTGACTGATCTCTGCACACATCAGCGCGACTGTTTGATTCAGTCCGCGTTTTAGATTAGACTCCAGAGCGCGCTGAATAAATCCTTCCTGTCACTGCGTTGCATTTGCAGAACCTGCAGTCCCAGATGACGGACTTCGAGGCCAGCGCCGAGCCTCTGCAGGAGTGGCTGAACGGCACGGAGGTCAGAGTTCAGGAGAGCAGCGCTCGACTGCACGACCTTCCTGCCAAGAAACAGGAGCTGAGCAAGTTGCAGGTATTTTATCATTCTGACGTGTTCGCTCTGTCACAGTGTCATAATTACCATTAACTTACATTACTTGTTTAATTATTCTGGTTATTCATGGAGCCATCTGTTAGTTTATGCATCATTTTATTTATTTTTTTCTGTGAAAGTGTCACCGTGAAAGAGCTGTTTCCATTTCTTTTCTTAGCTGCGATCCCTGATATTCTCTCATTTCCTCCCCTCTCTGCAGTAAACCTTGTCATTATCGCACAAAGTGAATATTAAGTAGGCTTTTAAATTGTTACCTCTTCATCAGATATGAATCCCCAAAGTACAATTTTGAACCCACTGGGAATAGGGAAGGACCTAATTACATTTGTTGAGCACCAGCGGATCAAAACAGAGCTGCATCTTGACACAATAGTCAGAGGAGAAGTCCAGAAAATCTAATTAATTCTCCTTCTGTCAAAGCTGAAGTGCTGCGTGGCYAAAAGGGCCTTTTTTTTTTTTCTGGAAGCGATAACGGCTCTTGCCACATCTGCCAGACACAAGAAAGGAAAAGAAGCACAAAGCGGTAAAAAGATAAAACTGACAACAGAAGACAAAAATATATCACGCCCATCTCAGAGCTCTGCCCTTATCTTTGGAGCTATTTTTGTATTTATTCTGTTGCCGCTGCAGCACTTCCCCAGCGTTGCCTTTTGTCTGGCCCTGTCTGTAATTACATTTCTCCCCCCCCACAGCACCTGAAGTACAATACAATACATGCAGGCTTTAGTGTTTGAACTTGTGTTGGCAAAATCCTCTTTATGCTGTCACTTCAATACCCCCCAACCTGYGCAGCCTCATATTAGTTCCCCGCTCTGCACTGTGGGGCTCAACTGAATAACAGCCTTCAGAATAGAGAAATACTGCTGATGATGTTTTTCATCCATCTAATAAAACGTGCTGTTTTCCTCKACATCGCCTTTTGCTGTGCATTTCACTCCTCTCTCTGGCTTTTTACATTTATTTATTTATTTTTTTACTAAAATCCGCCATTTCTTTAACATGCTCCCCTAACACCATGCTGCTCCATCTCTGTTTGTTTTCTTCCTCCTCCTGCTTTKTGCCGGTCCAGTCTGTGCTGGAGGACATGGTCAGCCGGGAGGTGGAGCTGGGCAGGTTGAGGGAAAGAGCTCACCACCTCTGGGAGGGACAAGCAGCCGGCAAAGGCTTCGTCCACAGAGTGTCTCAGCTGTCAGCTCAGTTTCTAGCCCTCAGCAACTTAACCAAGGTAACCCTGTGCACTTCTTTCTGTTTCTCTAGCTGTTCTGTGTGCTTCTGTCTCAGAAATGCTGCAGCTTGTTCTCCTTGGCAGGGCCGGCCCGTGGCATAGGCAGTATAGCCAAATGCTAAGGGCACCGTCCATCTAGGGGGCCGCCTGAAATGGAGGACAAAATAATATTTTATAGCTTTTTATTAGAGTATATTTGTGGAATAATCACTGGTTAGTCAGGTTTATGAAGGTAAGCCTGCTTTGTTTGGGGCGCCAAGTGTAAAAATAAAATGTTTAAAAAAATGTYGCTAACAGCAAAAAAATTTCCACTATTTACCTCACTGTTCTAACATTTTGCTATTTTTTTTACTAATTCAAATAAACTACATGTGTAAACATTAAATTATAAGTCTAAATGTAAAAGTTAAATCTTTAATGTTGAAGTTTATATTTAAGTATTTCGGAATGGAACGCGGCCTTTACCACAGATACTCGGCTCTTGCTAATGCATCTAACACTCAAACGCAGCTTCCCTTAAAGACGTCAAACTTACAGGTGATTTATGGTGCAGAGGATGTTTCGTATTAAAAGTATCACATGATGCAGTCAAGACTAACTACTGGTGCTCAGTGTGTAAAAAGAAAACACAATAAGGATAATGGAAGTTTAATTTATGACCTCAGATAAAGTTCAGGTTTTCAGTGTTTTACCTTCATAATATACTGWTTTTATGTTGTTTTAATGATTAAAATGCTCTTCAAATGGCTGGAAAATGCATTACTTTGATCTTTTATAAAGTTTTTCGGGTCAAAACACCCCTGGAGACCCCCCTAGAACTTCATCACTCCACAGGTATGAGGTAGACTTCTTGTATTCAAATTAATTATATTGTTAACTATTTAAATTGAACAAACTGTTTTCTAAATATGAAAAAAATATGTATCAAAGACAAAACTTTTTAAATTTGGAAAATGAATGTGTCTAAGGGGTGCCACCTGATATCTTGCCAAGTGCGCCAAATTGGCTTGGGCCGGCCCTGCTCCTTGGTTTGTGTTCGCCGTTGATTTGTGTGATCTGATGGGTTATTCTCCATGTTTGCTCTAATTAACTCATCTCTAGTCCAGACTTATTTACCTGAGGGGAGTAATCTTACTCACCTCTTAAAGGTCTTTGCTGTTGAAGCCTCATCAACATAAAAAACGTCCAAGAACGTGCAGCATACCTTCATCTGCTAATGCACAGCTAAAATGCCAAAGCTGAGATGTTTCAGGACTCTTGACCTTTTTATAGCTTTCATTAGCTTGGCGAGACTCAAACAATTCATTTGATGTATTGTGCAACAAACATTACACTGACCACAGTACACTTAGCTCGTGGCAATGAACGTCCCCCAGCGATGATGAATGACTTTATTTACTTTGCAGKCTTGAACTGGAGAGCTATTTTTAGGTCTGCTTTCCTGTCAGACATTCAGCCGCTGCAAACTGCAGCAGCTTTCACTTTGTTCACTCCACAATTACATGTTAAGATGTCTGCCTGATGACAGCAAGCTTGGAGGAGGTGGTGGTGGCGTTGGGGGAAGTGTCTCTGAAGACGTCTGTTATTCTCATTTCAAGCACAAACAGAACAAAATGAAGACACAGTGGATGAGCGGCGCAGAGCCGACGTAACATTTGACGAGTGTGTTTGCTCTCATCTGCAGGACAAAGCCTCCAGGATTGAACGCATCGTCGGGGAGCACCAGCTCTTCTCTCAGGGGCTTAAAGAGCTTCAGGACTGGGTGTGTGAGGCGCAGAGGGTCATCGGCACCTGCACCTCCTCCACGACAAACAAGAGCGTGCTGGAGGACCGCATGGTACAGCTGGAGGTGAGACAAGATGGGCGACTTTCAGAGGGTGTGGACAGTGACTGAGCAACAAAAATATATCTCCAAATGTTTTGTTGTTTTATTTATGATTTTAGAAAGCTTAAGTACTCGGAATGAACAATGAATTTCAAATCTTTAAATAGTTAGGTTTGATTTAAACATCTGAAAGTTTATAAATGTCTAATCTAAATTCCAGTTAAGAAGATGTCTGAGACAAAACTCTTACGAACCCAACTCTCACACAGATGAAACGGCGCACCCAGAAAATGAGTCTGTTTGTCATTTCTGGTCAGCAGTAATGATTCATAACAAATGACTRCTTTTTACTTTTACATGTAAGGATGTATCGCTGTCTCTTATGCCTTCAGCCAGTGGTGGGCACAGTTCCGCTAACTCGCTAATAGCAGAACTAATGTTTGATGAGCAGTTTAACGGACGTAGCTCCCACTAAATTAATATTAAGTTCTTTACAGCTAAAAATCCTATGAAATAAATCACCACATTCTTATTATACTCAACAACATTGTTTCACATGCACCAGCTACATGCTTGATAAAGCTGTGCTGTAAGTAGAGCCACAGGGTGACATCATCCCCCAGCTGAGGACAGTCCATGTTCAGTCTCCTCCTATATAGAGATTAAAACTTCTGACTCATGGTTTCAGTTTAAAGGCAAAAACTTTTAACATCGATTTTAAACCAAAACTGAACAAGAATTTGCCCCCCACCCCAAAAAAAAAAAAAATAAAATAAAAATAAAAATAAAAATCCACACAAAAAAATAGTAAAAAATCAGAATTCTGATTTTAAACTTTGAAAATCTGAGATCAAAGTCAGAATTCCGACTTTAATCTCTGACTTTGATCTCAGAATTCTTAAAGTCAGAATTTTGACTTTGATTTCAGAATTTTGTTTTTCAAATTTTAAATAGTTAGATTTAAATTATTTTCTATTATCTTAGAATTTGCCTTATAATATATATATCGCCTTATATGTCATCTAACATCTTAGAATCGCCTCTGTCAGTGTGCCCCAGGGTAGCTGTGGCTACAATGTAGTTTGCCATCATCAGTGTGTCAATGTGTGTGTGCATGGGTGAATGTCTGTAGTGTGAAGCGCTTTGAGTGTCCTGGATGGATAGAAAGGCGCTACGGTACAGTCCATTTACCAGATCTGAAGTTTAAAGTCAGAATTCTGACTTTTTACAATTTTTTTTGAGTGGAATTATTTTTTGACTAATTTTCTTCTTTTATTTTTTCACTTTAGAGATTTTCTTTACACTTTGTTTAGGTATTTCATGTCTGGTTTATTTATTTATTTTTTCCTCACGTGTCCTGTCTGGAAACGTGAAACTCAGAATTGATGTCTGAGTGTCCAAATGAAGCACAACAGTTTTACTTTCACAAGTGCAGCATAACGGCATTTCACCCTGATACTCCACTTGTATATATTGAAACCTTTATTATAAATTCTTTTGTTTTGTTTTTTTTACTTTAGGCCTTACTGGCTGCTCGTCAGGAGAGGGAGATCCAGCTAAAAATGCTCCTGACTCGTGGAGAGGCAGTCCAAAGAAATACCTCAGCCGAAGGGGTTCCAGTGATCCGCAAACAGATCCAAGACCTCAAAGACTCGTGGGACTTGTTGCTTTCTGCTTCAATCCAGTGCAAAAGGTGACCAGCTGGTCTTTAAACATCAACTTGAAATCCCTGTTTTCATGTGTTTTATTATAWAAACTTGTGTGTTTGCTCTGTTAGACCTGATTGTGTTGTTTTCTTACAGTCAGCTGGAAGGCGCTCTGTCGCAGTGGACCAGCTATCAGGAGGACGTGGAGCAGTTCGTGCAGTGGATGGATCGGGTTGAAGAAACGCTGAGCTGCTCAGACCGGCAATACTCTGAGATGAGAGATAAAACTGCTAACCTTGGAAGGACGAAGGTATCACAGACTATAAGTAAAATTTCTGTTATTATGATGGTTATATTGTTTAAGAAATTATCTTTATTTTAATTGTAAATTTTTTTTAATGGAGCGGCTGTGCTCTAGTTGTTCATGTGTGTGCTTTTAAACCCCAGCTGGGTTGAATGAGCTGTTCTTGTGTGTGTTTGTTTTATTTTAGCTTCTCTATGAGGAAGTTTTAAGTCACAGCAGTCCTCTGGAGACCATTGCCACAAAAGGATCCAACATGGCTGARCATTACACAACCCAGCAGGAGGTGCAGCAGCTGCAGAGTAGATACAACACACTCAAAGAAAAAGCAAAGGTATTGCCCACAACTGCATTTAGTGTTTAAATTAGATTTTTTTGATTCTCAAAGTGTAACCACAGCATTCAGTTTTACTATAAATCTAATAATAGTGTGTAAGTTACAGTTTAACTCTTACAGAATGCTGTCAGTAAGGCCAGTGAGCTCGTGATGGTCCACCAGGAGTATCAAAGGGGGTTACATGTGTTTGAGGACTGGCTGGAGCAAGAGCAGTCGTCTTTGGCCACGTTGTCTCATCCAGAGGGGAATGTGGACACGCTGGAGAAAACACTGCAGCAGCTGCAGGTAATGAAAACTGTGGAGCCTTGTGTTCGGTTGGTCTTACAGTACACAGATCAAGGCCCAGATTCACTGATGCCCGTCAGACAGGAAATCTCGCAAAACCTCTCGAGATCAAACATGAGTTCAGAGTAAATAAACATGGCCAACCAGGAAGAAACGATGGGGTTAGTTTGTGGATTATTTTTAACAGAAAAAAACAAACAAAACAAAAAAGACGTCCAGCAGACTTTCTGGTGTTCTGTGGTAGTTGTTTTGTCTTCTGTATTTTGGATTACCCCGTGTTTCCGTAACCTCGCTTTCTGATTTGCTACACATCACATTCAAAAGGTTGCAAGCTTTGTCCTCGGGGAAAACCACACACGTTGGGGTATTGGGCCAGGATAATCCAACACACTGAATATCAACAATTTGAGTTTTTTTTTTGCACATCTATCTATTTTCACAAAGCCCTCACAAACTTCCAGTTTCAACATCTCTCTGCACTAGTGCAGTCTGCTCACATTTAAATGAGGTTTTGTGCATGCATTTAAAAGAAAATGCACATATTGATGGAAATAACTGTTCGAGCAAAACACATCTGATCATTAAAGACCCGTTTGGAATATGTATTTAGCACCAATTACTGTGTTTCATGTCTCATGAGAGCAAGCGGTATTGCATTTTGGAAGAAGAAAATGAAAACAATTAGCTGTCTGCTGCACTGGTGTCTTTACAAAACAAGTGCAGTCACTTGATGTTCGCCCCCAGCGTATATTCAGAGTAAATATGACGCTAAGATGAAGCAAATAAGGGGAGCTAATGAAGATCAGAAATGTCTACAAGTACAATCTGCCCACATAATCAGCATGCTGGTTTTCCTCAACTCAACAAAATATCAATCTTTTCATTACGTTTCCTTTTTTTAATGTCCTTCCCAGAACCTGCAGGAAAACTGCTCCAGAGGCCAGTCTTTGCTGGCGTCAGTGCTGACTAGCAGGGAGCGAGTTATCCCCTGGGGCATCCCTCAGATTGAGGACCGAGCTCTGGACACGGCAAAGCGAGAATGGGCRGCCCACCGGAGCCGCCTTGAGGAGAATCAGGCCCAGCTTCACTCCACGCTGACCCGGCTGAGGCAAATGGGCCACAGGTTCTTAAACCTGGCTCAGTGGTTGGAGGACACGGAGAAGGTGGCCAACATCCGAAGCCATCAGCGCTCTGACAGAACGACCAAACAAAGTCAGCTGAAGAAACTCCAGGTCAGCGTCAGACACCATGATAATACATCTACACAGATTTCAGCAGCTTTAAATCAATTCTGTTTAAAAAAAAATCTGTGTTTCGCTTCAGATTTGTTCTTTGACTGGCAGTCATGTCAACGCAACTCCCAATTTACTCGCTCACAGTGCATTCACTGGAGTGTAAAAGCCAAAGTAAAGTTTTTTATTTGCCTGTCAGGGTGAAAGCAGTGMAGCATCTGTCACTTCAACACGTTACTTATTTACATTCCCAGTAAAGCAGCAACATTCCCCCCACTTCTGCTGAGGTATACTTTTAATGAGAAGACACACAAACACGTACATATGGGGTGCCTTTTGTAAAGTTACACAGTCAAAGATTACCACCAATATTTTTGTTTTATTTAG